CCGTCATCATTTTCATCGTCGGTCCATTCGTCGTCGTCTTCTGGGCAATCAACTTGCAAGTCTAGTCCTAACACTTTATCGATATCAAAATTATCAAAATCAATAAACACAGACTGTGATGAAGCCAATTGATACCTTTATTGGAAGGTGCAATGTCGTATATACAGAATAAATAATATCATTTACCGCAGATACCAGTCAGGCTAAGGAAATTTTTTGTTATGGTTGACTTAGTCCAAACTTCTTGTCCATGTGAGGAGGTTGATCTCAAAACATGTCTGAGCATGTGCAAATTGTGCTTATCTGGCGCATTAGCATAACAATTCCACACGTTATGGCTAATTCAAGTTAGTCAGCTTCCTATCCTGGTAACAGTCTTTGTATGCCTAGTTGATGTGTTATTTCGTATAAATACAATCTTGTAAAGTTTTTGACCATTACCATAAGATTCTAGTCTACACCGTACAGACTGCACCCTGATTTCTAAGTTTTTAACATCTACTAATAGTATTCTAACTAGTGCATCCATATATATACAGTAATTATTTTGGTCCTGCTTCAATTTTACTACACGTCGGTATTTTACTTATTATCATCATTATTATTTATTATCATTATTATAGCACAATATCATCAATTGATAATTCTGTCTAATGTAATAGAGAAATTTTGTAATTTTTTAGGTCCTTATGAATAGTAAATAAAGAATAATATATTCATTATTGCTATTGTTATTTTCATTATCGCTATCGTCGATTCATCAATATCGTTATTGTTACCGTAACTTTTTTCCATTACTACGGTATTAATTTTACTATAATTACTATTACTGTGTAACTACCGCTGCTACTACCAATACTACCACCAGCATTACTAGGCACACTAAATATGCATTATAATACAAAATGAGAGGAAGAATTAGTCTTTGCAATTAATATTCAACATTTTCTTACACTGGTCATCATAAATCACTTTTGATTACCGGTACGCCACATCAAAACCATTGTTATGGTTTAAGTTAAGTAGTCGAATAATTAAGTTGGAAAGTTTTCAAGTTGTTTCTGACAGCATTAATCATATTTATCCACAATTATTCCAATTTTAATTAGTATAGAATTAACATTATTAGTTATTCTTTGTCACGAATTATGATTTTCCTCATATCGGTAAAAACCTATGGAGTTTCAGTCTCTATTTTTTCTGACAGTGGAAAGCAAGATCACCATCGTTGACGGCTAAACTGATCTAAACGGCTGCTTAACATTGTCAACCACGTTTCTCATTCCATGATTTCATATATTCTCATCTAATCACATATGACGTCAGTTGTACGGATTGCTATATCACATTGGCGTGTATGAAATCCAAGCAGGTTTACTGCATTTAAGCTTTAAAGTCTATAGAACCTTCAATAATTTAGCTTCTGCTTGTGGCTAAAAGTGCCCATCCTGGATGCATAAAGCATATGGGATGATGTGACGTGCTTGATATCTGTCAGCACACTAGAGAGGAAGGCCCACTTCCTTAAGTTTTAGTAAACAGTGACGTACGTCTATGCGCTCTTCTGCGGCGGTCCGCTGGTCCCCCAAACTCTAGGGGCCCTACCCATAGGTTCCTCGATCTAGCACCCTGACCAAAAAGGACTTTGTTGATAAATAACACCATAATGTGTCTCTGAAATCGACTGTAGGGCATATATACTATTACAACGATTGGGCCCCCTCTCGGCCCGGGACCCCACCAAATTTGTCAAAAAAAAAATTAAATAAATGAGATAAAAAGAAAATTATATACACAATTTTAAGTCTGTGAGTACCATTTCCGGCCATCTAGACGTGCTATAATAATATATTTTCTTTTCTCGGCCCCACAAGGGCAACAGCATAATGTGTGTCTGAAATCGACTGTAGGACATTTATTATATCCTGTGGCAGAATAAAGAGTGGGGGGGGGAGGGGGTTGCCGGCCTGAGCTGCCGGCCCGGGGCCCCACTAAATTTTTCAAAATATTTTTTAACTGGAGGTAAAAAAATATATATATATATATTCACAATTTTATGTCTGTGAAGTGCCATTTCCGGCCATCTAAAGGTGTCATTCATAAATTTTCTTACCTCAGCCCCAACCATACTCAACTGTGAAAGTCCCTCCCTGGCATAAATTTTCTGGATCCAGGATTATATCATTTATTCGTCGTTAAAAACATTTAGAATAACCATGCACATCTAAAATCCCACGATGGAATTGGTGACCGGGGCCCAAAAGGGCCCCTAGTTTCAGAAATACACAGGCCCCGACCCCATCGTTACGCCACTGCTAGTAAACCATCTAATATATAAAATAATTCAAAATAATTATAACTCCATGAGCAGTGGTGGATCAGATGTGGAACGACCCCCCCCCCCCCTTCTGTGGAGAAACGTAACAAAATAGGCCTACTACTGGGTCCCGGCATACAAAAGGCATGCTCACGTCCTACCTAGGCATAGGTTAAGGTTGGCAGATCGGACAAACTAGGCTTAGCCCAGCTAGCATTCAATTAAATACAATTAAAAGCACTGTTTTTGGCTCGACGTCCTAATAATTAATGTACGAAAGTGTGTTTTTCAGGCCTATCGGTTGATCGATCTTTAAGAAAGGCTAAGTATTCAAATACTCAATATTGTTCGAATATAGGCCTAATAATGTATTGAATTTAACTTAAATTTTCTTGTATGGTATAGGTCTAAGAATGAGATAAACTCACCTGACTTTGAATGTTGAAGAAATTAAAGGTCGTTAAGACACCTCAGAAGTCGGGAAAGCTCCTTTCCAGCCATCTAGGAATCAAAATTTTCACGGACCTCCCCGCCCCCCCCCCCTTTCATTTTCGGGTTTTTGGGAAAACTTTTGTATCCCCTCTTTCAACTCCTGGATCCGCCCCTGATGAGTAAGTTGTAGGCCTATATAATCATGAATGGTATTTTCTAGAATTTCAATGCTATGGAAGAATACTTATTATCAATTGTATAATCACCATTCTTTAAATAAGGTCAGGAGGAATGTTCTGCAAATGGTTTGTACTTTGTCCATGGATATGAGGAAGCGAAGCATTCTCGTTGGTCAGTATTTTTAAATAAGCCATGTGTAATTCATATTCCTCGTTTTGAAATTACTTCTTCAGGAATAGGGCTGTTACTGATTTCGTTTAGTGGAAGGTTGGTCTATCCCCGGGCATTTGACGCGTTCACTAACTGGATTAAATGGCAGTATACATTTTGGGTACCGTGCGTACGTTTTGCAATTCGTCTTGAACCGGTCGTTTTTCTAGCCAATTAACGTTTGGTTTTATCTCTTAATCTTTTTGGTAGGCCGGGCAGGTAGGTGTACCAGAGTTTGTAGGGTGCGGATTAGCAGCCGCAAGATATGCGGCCGAACTTCTGGCCTTCAGTTTAGTTTTGTTTTGCTTGATGTGCTATTTTTCTTCTCTTCTTCTCTCTGTTAAATTATCTAAATTCACATCACCTGGAACTGTCTTTTGCTTATACGTTAGAATAACTGGCTCGTACAAAAGTTAGGATTATTTAAAAGGTTTTTGAGA